GCTTAAACTCTCTTTTATGACTCGCACAACATTTGCTTAAACTCTCTTTTATGACTCGCACAAATTTGCTTAAACTCTCTTTTATGACTCGCACAACATTTGCTTAAACTCTCTTTTATGACTGGCACAACATTTGCTTAAACTCTCTTTTATGACTCGCACAACATTTGCTTAAACTCTCTTTTATGACTCGCACAACATTTGCTTAAACTCTCTTTTATGACTCGCACAACATTTGCTTAAACTCTCTTTTATGACTTGCACACAAACAAAGTCTGAAATATCTATTACATATTTTTGGTTTGTGCATTTCAGGCAATTGTAGTAATCTAAGAAGCCAAATGTTTAATTTTTCATTTTTTAAAATTAAAAATCAAATTACTAAATTATTTCTAATTTCATTAAGTCATATCTCAGTAAATTCTTAACTGACGTTTACCAAATTATTCAGAAAATATCTATATTTGTATCTGAGGCAAGTATAAACATTTAGACTCAAGATTAAGTAGATCAGGCTCTATATGTCGCAATCTGTTAGGTATACTGATTTTACTGAAAGAACATCTAAATACTGGGCTCTCGTGGTAAACACATTTAATCCAATTTGTAATATCTGTTTGTTAATGTTCTTGCACCATTATACCATCCACTCGTATATCACCAACAGATAAAATTCAGCAAACATTATCTTATGACTTATAATGTAATAAGAAAATTTTATAATCTTATACGTAAATGTGCGAGTCATAAAAGAGAGTTTAAGCAAATGTTTTGTCGTGATCTATATTTGCAATAGAAATATAGTAAAGTATGCTACATTTTTTAAGCTCTATGCACCCAAGAACAATGACCAACCATTAGAAAACATTAGGACATTGGATTCTTGCTACATTCTTCCTTGTAAACATAATGATCCTGAGGATATTTATACCCCCAGAAACTAAACAGATGGTAAATGACTCTATGTTTCAAAAGTCATTTTATTCTAGTACTTTTTTCCACCACCAGATGTACTTTAGTCTTGATGATACAGGTTTCCTAAAAGATGTCTTTTTCAGTCATACCAATTAAATATCCAGTTATTTTACACAACTGAATGGCCTTAGGCTCTTGGATTGATTGTTTCTACTCAATCCTCTAGGTTTCTTACAATAATCCTTCAAGATATTAAGTTTCCACCACTTGTTTTCTTCACAAGGACTAGATGAAGAAAACAACAGTCACTCTAAATGAAAACTCAACTCAACATAATTTTTATTGTGCTCTAAGTAATGTTTAGATTGTGTATAATTTTACAGTACTATAAAAATAACCATTTTACAAATGTTTCATAACACCTTGATTAAAGTATTTTAGATAGTATGTTATTACTATGACAACTTACAGATGTATAAGTTATTTAAAACATACACCGTCAAACAGAATTGGGGCACAGACCCTGTGTGTCACTAACAGTGCCTCTGAGTTGAGGTAACTTGTTATCTCATGATATTTCTTCAACACGATCTAGTTATATAGATGTCTGTAACATAAGCTGTCTTAAAAAACTGTGATTAAAAATATTTATTTCAGAAAATTACACTTGTGACCAAAGATGTGAAAACCCTCTAAACCAGAATCACTCCTCTGAATAACGTGAATATGACATTCATAGTTTTTCTATCATTTGCAAATGTAACATTTTTGTCAAAGAAGCACTATATGAGTTGCATATAAGAATGTATAGAAAGACCATACATTATGTTACATTTATACGTACTCTATCAAGTATGATGTATAATGCTGACTCTAGCACAGTGCTTTAAAAGTGATAGATAATTAGAAAGTAGGTGTTAAAATATTTTACGCAAGCTTTAGTTATTGGAAAAGTGTTTTGAATCCCAGTTGTGTCTTGAAAAACCAGAATAGAAAACGATGATTAGTATCATATTGAAATCCCAAAAATTCCCGTACCTATGGGCCCGAGCCCTGAATCTTTTAAGTATCTAGCACTGGCTCTGGCTCAATTACTGGTATAGGTGTCATGAGAACTGGAGATGTTGAAAAATATATCGTCAGTGAGTTATTGTAAGAGTTATATATCTGATGATATTTTTTTAAACATCATGGAGCTCTCATGGCCATCTGTTATCACTAGCTGAGAGTAGGTTATATCTGTTCATATTTCCTTTTATATGATCTAGTTCTATATGACCAGTAAAAGTAACTGTTTTAAGGACATATATATATATATATATTGTTAGAGATGATATAGAGCTAAATTTTGTTGAAGAAGATGTAACCTTATCTAGGCTAGTGTTAGAGATGATACGAGAGCTAAATCTTGTTGAAGAAAATGTAACTTTATCTTGGCTAGTGTTAGTGATGATACGAGAGCTAAATCCTGTTGAAGAAAATGTAACCTTATCTTGGCTAGTGTTAGAGATGATATAGAGCCAGATCTTGTTGAAGAAAATGTAACCTTATCTCGGCTAGTGTTAGAGATGATACGAGAGATAGAACCTAAAGTTACCTCAGCTAATGTTAGAGATGCTCCAAGTGCTAGATCAGCAATGGTGAGATGTTCTCCAGCAACATACGGACTCTTTTCTACACACGAGTCCAAATAAGTCAGAGCAGCTTTCAAGGCTTTTTCTTTATCAGGATCAGGTTTTTGTCCCTGAAACATCTGTGGGTACTGTGTATAAAATAAAATGATTTAATTAATAATAAAAGTTAGCAAATTAAATAGAAGAGTGGCTGGATGGAAGAAAGCAGAGGGTTGTTACAAATGGAGTTCAGTCAAACTGAATTAATGTCACAAGTGGGGTACCTCAGAGCTCAGTCTAAGGACCTTTGCTCTTTTTTGGTTTACATCAATGACATAGATGAAGGGATAGTCAATAAATTACTTAAATTTGCAGATGATATTAAGGTCTCTGGTTTTGCTAGCTGTGAAGAGGATGCTGCTGATTTACAAAAGGATTTAGATCATTTAGTTAGTTGGGCAAATAAATGGCAGATGGGTTTTAATTATAATAAATGTAAGATAATGCACGTGGGTTATCATAATTTGAATTATAAGTATAATTTGTATGGGAATAACCTTAATAGTGTCATGAAGGAAAGGGATCTTGGTGTAATAGTCAATCAGTCTC